TTCATTTGGAAAGGCAAGGACTCAGCACGGCTTTGTATGTGGGAAACAACCTCACCAACTTGATTGAATTTTTTTGAAGCGGTAACCAAAATGGTTGACGAAGGCAGAGTGGTAGATAGTTATTTGCAGGGACTATAGTAAAGCCCTTGACAAGGTTATGCATGGTAGACTAATTAGTAAAGATAGATGACATAGGATTCAGCAAGACCTTGTCAACTGGGTACAAAATTGCCTTGAGGATAGGTGACAGAGCGTGGTGGTGGAGAGTTGTTTTCAGACTGGAGGCTTGTCACCAGCAGTGTTCCACTGGGATCAGTACTGGGTGCACTTTTGTTGTCATTTGTGTAAATGATTTGGATGAGAATTTAGGAGACATGGTTACTAAGTTTGCAGATGACACCAAAAGTGATGGTATGATGGACAGTGATGAAGGTTACCTAAGATTACAAAGAGATCTTGATCAATTAGATCAATGGGCTGAGGAGCAGCAGATGGAGTTTAATTTGGATAAATTCAAGGTATTGCATTTTGGTAAAACAAACAAGGGCAGTACTTATACAATTAATGGTAGGGCCATGGGTACTTTGTTGTAGAACAGAGAGACCTAGCAGTTCAGGTCCATAATCCTTTGAAATTTGCATCACATGTAGACATGGTGGTTAAGAAGGTGTTAGCATAATTGCCTTAATTGCTCAGACCTTTCATTATAAGAGTTGGGATGTCATATTGAGGTTGTACAGGACATTGGTAAGGCCTCTTCTGGAGTATTGTGTGCAGTTCTGGTCACCCTGCTTTGAAAGTATATTATTAAATTGGAGAGGGTTCGTAAAGGATTTACAAGGATGTTTCCGGGAATGTAAGTTTTGAGTTATAAAGATAGGCTGGGACTTTTTTCACTGGAGCATAGGAAGTTATGGGGTGACCTTATTGAGGTTTATAAAATCATGAGTAGCACAGATAAAGTGAATAGTAAGAGTCTTTTCCCCAGGGTGGGGGAGTTCAAAACTAGGGGACATATCTTCAAGGTGAGGGGAGAAAGATTTCAAAAGGACATGAGGGGCAACTTTTTTTTTTTACCGTGTGGCTCCTATGTGGCATGAACTGCCAGAGGAAGTGCTGGATGCAGGTACAGTTGCAGTATTTAAAAGACATTTGGATAAGTACATAAATAGGAAAGGTTTAGACAGATATGGGCCAAACGTATAAGCAAGTGGGACTAGTTTGGTTTAGGAACATGGTTGGCATGGACTAATTGGGCCGAAGGGTCTGTTTCCATGCTGCATGACTCTGACTGTATTGCCAGCTAAGCTATGTCTTGGTGCTAGTTAGAAAGTTCTGGTGATGAGGCATTCTGCCAAATGACAGTCTGCTCAGGGAACCATGCGACAGGATCCATTCTCTCCTTTTCCCTCAGGGTCTCGAGGACACTACATACTGACACCCTCCCTGACGGGCTTGTGGTTAGAGGGGATTTTCTTAGCAAATTCTTCGACGAAGGACAGGTGGTATGGAATAGTCCAACTACTTGGAACATTCTGCGGCAGCGAGGCCAGTCCCATCCTTCGCAACACCAGGGAAAGGTAGAACTTCAGTACCTAGTGACACTTGGCATTTGCGTACCGAGGGTCTACGCACATGCTAACACACAAAATAGCTCCAAAGGATAGTTCTATTAATCTCAGCGACCCCCAACTCCCAACCCATCTTAAAGAAGCACTGTAATGTTGTAAGTGAAGCGTTATGCAGGTAAATTAGAGATGTGTGCATATGTCCAGGCTGAGTTTTCATTTTAAGGAACCCTGGCACAAACTCATAAACTATATTGCAGGTAGAAATGTAGGCAATGTAATGCTATGGCTGGAACCCAAAAGTTTCCAACTTTGTTTTGACAAACAAGGGAAGAAATCTAATATTACAATGATGAGCCAAAGCAGACTCAAAAGGTTACCTCCCTTTATCTCTCATCACAACTCTGTTCCACTCACACTGGTGAGACCACACTATAATCTGATTTAGCGGTGGAGTGACAGGATGGCGCCGGGCCATGTACAGTGGTGGGTTTTTCAGTGGGCTAGGGTGGCAGGCTTTCCCTTGTGTGAGGAAGTCATTCTCATACTGTGCAGAGTGCGCAACTCCTCCCACCCAAGCCTTGTTGGTAAAACCCATCTGGTTCAGCAATGTCTTTTAGGGAAGGAAATCTAGCATCCTTACCTAGTCTGGCCTACATGTGACTCCAGACCCAGTTTAATGTGGCTGACAATTAACAATAAATGCTGGCCTAGCCAGTGACCCCCACAGAGATCATAGAATCCTTACAGTACAAGAAAGAGGCCGTTCAGCCCATTGAGTCCACACTGATCCTCCAAAGAACATTCCATCCAGACCCAGCCCCCTACCCTATCCTCACAGCCCCACATTTGATGTGGATAATCCACCCAGCCTGCACATCCCTAGACACTATGGGCAATCTCCCATGGCCAATCCACCTAACCTGCACATCTTTGGGCTGTGGGAGGAAACCAGAGCTCCCAGAGGAAACCCATGCCGACACAGAGAGAATGTGCAAACTCCACACAGACAGTCAGTCGCCTGATGCTGGAATTGAATCTGGGTCCCTGGCGCTGTGAGGCAACAGTATTCACCACTGAGCCACCATGCCGTCCCCAACTTTCCTGAATGAAATGAAAAAAAAAATTATACAAAGCCTTGAATATACGAAAATGTCCAGAAGTGCTTCACTGTCTGTACACTGGCTGGGAGTTTGAGAATGGGTGGGGCAGGAACAGGGCAGTGGTTGAATGAGACCACAAGTAGCAGAGCCATTGAGAAGGCAATTAAGATTAAATTCTATTTGCTGACAGCACCATTTAATTTTGCAAGACGCTAGAAAGAATGGACTGCATGGTTTCCGTGAGAAATGTTGGAATGCTGAAGTTGGGCTGATGGTGCAGAGCTGCTGCAAGTCAGACAGTATTTTAGTGTTTGCCGATCAAATGGATGCAAAAGTGGAATGGGTTCTTTTTAATGGAACACCAAAGCCAGGCAGAGGTGCCACAAAAACAAATTATACACAAGTTCTTTTTTTTTTATAGAAATTACCACAGAGAGAGTGAGCATTTGTTTGGATCTCTAGAAGGGTGAAACCAGCAGTGAAGATAAGGAAAGGAGAGTGAGAACACAATGGGGGGGAACTGTGGGAAACTGCAAGACCAATTGTGGAGAGAAAAGCAGTGCAGAGTCACAGCAGTATAGCCAGGGAACAGAAGGAAACAGTGAAACCAGAAATGGGGACAAGAGAGGCACAAGGACAGTGAGAATACAGCAGGGAGGCAGTGAGAAAGAGCAAGACCAGTACTGGGGATAAGAGAGGCTGTAAAGACCACTTTTATGTTGCATAGTGGGCTTACAAGAAAGTGAAAAAGATACTGCTTTAAACAAAGCAGGCTGTGGCAGAAGTTATTGCATTCCTTTGACAGTTGTTCTCAATCGACCAATTATTGTGGGCTCAGAAGGGATTAGCACGGTAACAAGAACTTGATTGGTTCCTGGGTGAGGGGCTTCAGCTCTATATGTGGACAATGAGGGAGAAGCTTCCAGCCTGCAATGAGAATACACTTTGATCTCTCTATCCCCCTCTGCTGGGTGGAAAAGGAACAGGAAATTGACTGGCAGCTGTTCTTCCTCAGCACTTTGCTGTAACTCTCCCACCGCTGGTCTCACTCCTACCCACTGCTCCATCACTTCTCTCACACCTTTGTGCTGTGCCACAATTCACTGGGATAACACACTGGAAATGAAGCCCCCCCTATTCCCCGAATCAAGACAAATGAGAAAATCTGATTAAACCGCTGAATTTGACTCGCTTCCTCGTTGTTGTTCAAAGATCATACTTGTCTGGTTTTTCAGCAGCAAGAATATAACTGTTTATTTTAATCGAACCCAATCGCAGGGATGAATGTATAAAGCTGGATGAACACAGCAGGCCAAGCAGCATCAGAGGAGCAGGAAGGCTGACGTTTCGGGCCTAGACCCTTCTTCAGAAAATG